TCTAGTAAGGTTTTATGTATTTCAAGATTAATTACTTTATTGACAATATTAAAAGCACACTTTTTATATTAACTTGATGTATTTAAAAAAAATTAATTTTATTAAATACTAATTACAAGACTTAAATATTGAATCTGATCTACAAAATAATACTTGTTTATTAATAAATTTAATTCTTAAGATTTTTGAATAGTGTTTACTATCACGCGTTAATGGGGCAGAAAAATGTTGCATTTTGATAAACCTGTACGTTCTTGTGTGAAACCAAAACAGATAGCAGAATAATTCATGCGGGAATTTCACCATCAACAAGCATGCGTTTGACAATGTTTGCCTCAAATAACCGCATGCTTCTTGACCGACTGAGACGTCATCACAAGAAAACTAATACTTGTGAGCCCAAGATGTGATTAATGGGATATGATTGGTTAATGAGTTATATCTATGTCAATTAATCAAGTTGGGTTGCTTGGGTTTGGGTACTTGGTTTTCTAAATTCAAGAGTAGTTTCTCTACCACTTCATTAAAAAAAAAAAAAAGCATTTATTTGATAATGTCTTAGAGACTTCATCAAAATCATATAGGATATTATGAAAAGTCATGTAAAGTTAGTAGCTTTGTTAAAGCCATTTGGCTTACTTAAGTTATTAAGGAAGTATTTATGAATGAAAGATGGAATTACCCAATATTATATAAGTGTAAATAATTTTAATAAATCATATCTATTATCTTCAAAATAAGAATGAGTCTTACTTAACATTTGTGAACAATATAACTTATAAATACCGCATCGAGCTTTTCGAGTCAAGTGACAATAGTCACCATGGTGCATTTCCTCCTCCCAAGACTGAGATTCGAACCCAGCCCTTGTGAAATCCGTTCAAATATATATATATATATATATATATAACTTATAAATACCAATGACACTAATCATGTGTAAGGTGCAGATACCCATCTTGATGATGATGAAGAATTTGATTGACTGGAACGTTTACATCTTAACCCGAATTGGGCCAATTCCCCTCCACCTGACACCGCATAACCCATCCCATCAAGAAAGCCTTTTCCCATTTGAAAACAGGTCAACCCACCAATTTTTCTCCATTTTTATGAAAGATTTTTTATATAAAAAACTGGAAGGGTTTTTTTTTTTTTTTTTTAACTGTTTATGACGGACTACTTAATACGAAATAACCTTCTTTTTCTTCAATTTCTTGTTATACATTTCAAACTTTTAATTTAAATGTTTTCACTATTTAAGAGCAAAATTAGTAGCATTTGTTTAGTTAAATTTTTGAAAAAAAACCCTCATTCCTTTATAAAAAATTTAAATTAGATTAATTACAAAACACGAAACCATTAAATAGAGAAACATCTTTTAATTTTAAAAATTTACCTCATTTAATGTTAAATATTATACAATTTAATATAATTTAAAATACGTAATATATATATATATTTATATATACAAGTTAAGCCATACAAGCTGTTTTAGAGCCCTCCATCTCATGATAATAATAACTTTTTTTTGACTAAAAATTTTTCTTAAATTAATTATGGTTTTTACTAGTATAACTTATATAATATAAATTAGTCCAAATAGGGTATGTGTTAACTTGTATGTTATATGAAAGGTTAAATATCAATTTTAGTTTTTCAATTTTAGAGTTTTATACATTTTTGTCCCTTAATTTGTTTATACATTTTTTTGATCTCTCAACTATAAAAAAAAAATGTATTCTTTTAATCATTATATCAATTAATACGTTATGTCTATCTTCTTCTTTTTTCAATTTAAAAGTTCAAAAACTAAAAATATATATATTTGAATAAATTTAATGAACTAACTAAAAAAGAATTAAAAAAATATATTTTTATAGTTAAAAGATAAAATATATATATAATTTTAAAATAAAAATTATACAAAACTCTAAAATTTAAATAAAAATGGACATTTAACCTATATCAACTCGAACTCTGTTTATGAAGGCCGAAAAAAAAACTCGAAGTCCATTGAGCTAAGCTAATTGGATTAGAGCCCATTATTCTCGACCCAATCCAAAAAGGCCAGGACAAAAATGGCGGCAATTCAACCTACCGCTACACAAAAGTCAAGACTGAAAACGAGCTTTTAATGATGGCAGTCTTTTTTATACCTTTTCCTGGCTGGTCTTATCCTTTCTTTCCTCGCTTTAGAAAATCAAACCAAACACAACACGGAAATGGAAGTTAAACGGCGAACGGCTCGCTCGCTCGTCGCCAAGCTCAGCTCGGTTTCCGAACAGATCCGTTCCGAGGCCCTTGCCGAGCTCCGCCTCATCACAAAACATGATGCTGACAGCCGCCCCATCGTCACGGAAGCAGGCGCCATACCTTATCTCGCCGAGATCCTTTACTCGTCTTCATCTACATCCCAAGAGAATGCAGCCGCGACTCTGCTTAACCTGTCTATTTCCTCTCGTGCGACCCTCATGTCCACTCGAGGCCTCCTTGATGCGATTTCCCATGCGCTTAGTCATTCTTCTTCGGATGCCGCTGTACAATCCTGTGCCGCCACGATCCACAGCCTTCTCATCGCCGACGAATCGTATCGCCCTATAATCGGTTCTAAACGCGACATCATTTATTCACTGGTGAGGATAGTCACGGACTCCAACTCCCCTGCTCGATCTATAAAGGACGCACTGAAAGCTATGTTTGGAGTAGCGCTTTATCCGCTAAATAGGGCGACTTTGATAGATCTAGGAGCAATTCCGGCGCTTGTGTCGATTATAGTGAGGGACGCACGGACAGGGATTATGGAGGATGCGAGCGCGGTGTTGGCGCAAATAGCGGGGTGTGAGGAGAGCGAGGAGGGACTAAGGAAGGCGGGAGGGGTGAGGGTTTTGGCAGATTTGTTGGATGAGGGAACCGGTGCTAGTAGAAGGATAAAGGAAAACGCGGTGGCAGCACTGTTGAATTTGGCCCGGTGTGGAGGAGAAAAAGGGAGAGAGGAAGTGAGGGAGGTGGCCATGAAAGTGTTGGAGGGGATTGCCGATGTTGCAGAGAACGGTAGCAGCAAAGGGAAGGCAAAGGCGTTTGATTTGCTCAAGATTGTGCTTGAAGGGTTTGAGATGGGCGATTCAAGGTTTGACGATTTGCTGAATCACCACTCTAAATGAATGAATGAATGAATGAATCAGTTGTAATTTGAGTTTCTTTCTTCAGAATTAGTTGCATATATTTGTACAAATTAGGCTGTTGAATATTGGATTATGGTAAATGAATTGAATTCATTGTCTGGTTGTAGTGGCTTCTCTACTTCCATCTTTGCAGGGTCAAGGCTGCTACATTAATATTTGTTGGATTATGAATAAAATATCCCTGATAAGTCCTGATTGGATGAACAATGACTTTACTTGATAAATTGGTTCAACCCTGTTCTTAGAAACTAAGCTAACTAATGTTATGGAGTTGGTGGAATTTTAATGTATATGCATCAAGTGTGATCTAGAACTTAAAAAGAACGATGGGAGAAATAGGCAAAGTACCTGTGACTAAATTTTGCCTTCTAGCCTATTCAAGATGAGGCCTATATGCATGCTTCTTTAATCTATGTCTCCAGGTTTTAATTTATCTGGAAGGTTAAAATTCTCATGTTGTAGTGACTCTTATAATTGTTCAATGCTCATCCATGAAGCATCTAAATTCATTTATATATGACATAATTATTGAATGCTAATCTATGACTCTTATAATTGCTCTGTTAACTGCAAAAAATGTTAGGTACCTCTAAATATGAATGATGGTCAGGCTGAAATGCCACCGTTTTTGCAATCAGGTTTACTTTAGCATGTATTATTTTGATTTTGATCTGTTAAGTTTAGATGGTCAAGCTTTCTTCTGTGTTAAATTTGAGAAAATCACATCACAGGAAGCAACTTTAGAAACATAGGTTAGGCTCTGTGTATATTACTACACTTGGATGCTTTCTTTTCTTTCCTGCATCTATATTACTGTATTACTAACAATGAATGTAATTTGGTACCTATGGCTATATTACTACTGAATTTGTAATCAGGTTGAAATGACACCACTGCTGAAACCTATTTCTATATTACTACACGTCTTTTCTTTGTATTTTGTATACTATATGCCCTTTAATGTTTGGTACCTATATCTGCTTTAAATTTTGCAATCAGCATTCCTAGAATGGTGATTGTGAGAAATTGTTAATGATGCTTATGATATGATAATCTTCATGGAACCCAAATTCTAGTGAACTCATTAAAAGCTTATAGATTCCGTGCTGGATTATCTATTCTAAATCTCGATTAAATTACTCAATCCTTGTGGGGCTGCATTTAGCTGGAACCATAGGTGCTGCTGCAAACAATATGCCTTTTGTTGAAAGATGCCTTCAGTGCCTCTTTTGTTGGACTGAAAATTAGGTAATGACTTGCCCTTTAATATAAGTATAGTAAAAACAACAGTAGCAACAGCTAAGCTGACACTGATACATGAACAAATCAGAGCACACTAGAGTCATTTTTATCACAACTCAATTGCCAAGTGGATATGTTAGGTAGACATTCTTCATCTCTTGTTTTTCCATGAGGTAGATATCAGCCAAAAAGTGAACTAAAAATGGAATGAATTAAGACGAGAATGATCGATGACACAAGAATGCGTTGTATCATTCATCCAGATAGTTTTCCTAGCCAATCATCAAATTCACACAGGACCCTACCAGAAACAATTTGAGTATAAGATTGTCATGATCCAAAGTTTCAAGTTCGAACTTGAAATTTAATATGAAGCTAGGAAAAGGAGTTGATTATGGTTCGATCGGTTTACTTTCATCAGCTCCAATCAGAACCCACAAATGCATGTAAAATTGTTTTCATTACTTTGGTCTAATTGTCAGCATCAACCCACTTTGGTTAAGGCTTAAAAAAGGTTAATGGAGCACCCATCTTCAAAGCACCTCCCATCAAGGATCCAACCAAATTTCTATCTTCTTTTAGTTACTTTTGAACCACTTTTCAGAGGCTGGCAAGTGGCTCTATTTTGCTTTTCAATCCTGTTACATGATTTCAATTGTGTAGATGATGCCTTTTTGACCTCAACCTCATTAAGAATCTGTACTATCTATGAAAACTAAACCCCTATATCCAACATTTTCAAAAAATGGGATAGGACCTGCAAAAGAAAAGTACATCGCTAGGAGGGCTTGAACCTTCGACCTTGTGGTTAACAGCCACACGCTCCAACCAACTGAGCTATTCCAGCAATTGAGGAGGAAATTCATAGAGCACAGTTAAATCATTTCAAAGAGAAAATTGTCATAGAAATCCAAATTCTTGATAAACCAGCCCCAACTCCTTAGACATCCAATGCTTAAAACAGATGATGAGGAATTTGGAATACAGATAGCTATCTTTTGACTTTGGTTTTATAGCATGCATACTATTTTGTGCTACAAAAACCAACCAATATCTGGGTTTTACAAGGAGCCTTGAACAATATTGAAAAGGCCTTGAACAATATTGAAAAGGGCAGAAATCCTTTAACAGAGAGAAAGAAGAAGCTCTCAGGTCAGACGTCTTGAATCTTGATGCATTTCATATTGCGGTTGGCAGGCAAAAACAAAAAGGGGCAACACCCACATAGCCAACTAGAATCAACTATGCCAATTAAAGATTGTCACCAAAAAGCAGTTGCCTTGAAAATCTCCCCTTTCCAATTCCTACTCCTCTAAGTCTTATACCACACTCTACCCTCGCAAGTGGCAAACCCACCCAAGGTTTGATTTTGGAAAGTGGGCAAAAGCATAATTGAAAAGGCAAAAGTGCAAAAAAGGCAAGGATGAAAAGTGTGAGCCAAAGTTTTAGTGACCATGGCATATTGGGCAATGAGGTTGAATTTGGTCGATTTGGAATTGCGAAAGGTTGTGGGTGACAGAACCATGTCACTATGTCAGTGCCCCACCACCACTATCTAACACCTTAGCACTATTAGTCTAGTGGATTTCTTGGTTTGCTTCATATCAACGCTAACAGCCAAAATAACCCAAGCACAGTAATAAACTATTAATAATATCAACATAATTCCAAAGTGCTAGGCCCATTTAGTATTGGGTTTTATATTTTCAGTTCTATTAATCAATCAAGACTTCAATTTTTTCAAAAAGTTTAAAGGTGATGTGTTTCTCAAATATGATATAGACAAGTAGTTTTAATTGAACTATTAACTGATATTATTTACTTTTAATTAAACTATGAAGAGATAAATTAAATATATAATTTATGCAAAAGTCGACACAAAAATATATACTTGAATAGAAATTAAAACAAAAACAATAAAACCAACATCCCCACAAATCACAAATGTAAAGTGAGGTTAAGAGGTTATTATCATTTACCCATTTGACAAACCCTCCACTTTCTTGGTTGCCCACTTTCATCAAATTCCATATCTCTCTAATGCTAGTGGCTCTCTTTCTCACACATTTTTCCTCCTTTTTCCTTTCTTTTCCACTCTCTATCTAGCGTAGCTAATGCTAGTGGTTCTCTTCCCACCCATCATTTTCTTTCCTTTCTCCTAGCTAGAAGGCTTTGTGCCAAAAGCTTTCTTTGAGGGTTCTTTCATGTTAACAGCTAAACAAGAGTAAAAATTGTTTTGTTTTAGTAGCATGTGAGGGAGATGGACAGAGAAACTAACAACCAAGAAAACCCATCACTCCTTCCCAATACTACTATCAAAGAAGAATCTCCGAGGAAACTTCATGGCAACTCCGGCGGCAGCGACAGGCTAAAGCGGGATGAGTGGAGTGAAGGGGCGGTTTCAAGCTTGCTTGAGGCCTACGAAAACAAATGGGTACTCCGGAACAGAGCCAAGCTCAAGGGCCATGACTGGGAGGATGTGGCACGGCACGTGTCGGCGCGTGCCAATTGTACCAAGTCTCCCAAGACTCAAACGCAATGTAAGAACAAGATCGAATCCATGAAGAAAAGGTACCGTTCGGAGTCAGCCACCGCAGATGGATCATCTTGGCCTTTGTACCCACGGCTTGATCTTTTACTACGCGGCAGTGCTCCGCCGCCGCCGCCACCACCACCACCACCACCACCACTACAGGCACAGCCACCTCAAGCAGTACCGATTCTGCCTTCTATTAATAATCAACCCCCTTTGATATTACTAGAGCAATCACCGACGGTGCAGCCCCCACCACCACCTGCGGCGGCTCCACAGCCTCCTGGGACAGCACCAAATTCACATGGGTCTAACGGTATTGATAGAGAACTAGGCAAGGTCAGTTCAATTAATTAATAAATTCAATATTATGAATTCATGCATGGACCGGCCAATATTTTATAGAAACCATATATAAACAATACTAGTATATATCTTTTAGCCTTTTCTCAATTAGTATGGGGTACTTTATTATTATTATTATTTTTTTGAGCTGAAGTTAAAATGGGGTACTTAAATTTTAACATCTAAATTGTACTTAAAATTAATAAATATCAATAATTTTTATTTTTCTTGTAATAGGATGATGGATTTGGAACAAAATTATCCGACCATTTATCGGACAAGATTGCCATGGACACGGATAGTAGTACACCTGCCCTTTACAGTGACAAGGACAAGCTGAGGTTGAAGAAGTTGAAGATGAAACACAAGCGCCGGAGAAAGGAAGAATGGGAGATAGCGGAGAGCATTCGGTGGCTAGCAGAGGCGGTTTTGAAATCGGAGCAAGCAAGAATGGAGAGCATGAGGGAAATAGAGAGAATGAGAGCGGAAGCAGAAGCCAAGAGAGGGGAAATGGAGTTGAAGAGAACTGAGATCATTGCCAATACCCAACTTGAAATTGCTAGACTCTTTGCAGGGGTTAGTAAAGGCATTGATTCTTCCTTAAGGATTGGGAGAAATTGACTTTGAGGGATTATGTAGTAACTGCAAATTTAGTTAATAAATTATATACTCCTATTTGTGTATGTGTAGCTAGATTATTATAACTTACATATTTTGTCTCTTGACATTAATTTTTAAAGGAGGCAAATGAATTAAGAGAAACTTAATTAATCTATGTGAAAATTTTGATGAGATGTGTGGTTTCATTAATGATGTATATGAAAATTCATACAAGTTAATTTAATTAGATTGGACAATTACGCGTTTGATGAGAATGATAATGAGCCGGCTGAGGGGCTCAATAAATGGCATTAATTACTTTGAAATTAATTAGACGTTTAAATGGAAAATTATTGAAAGATAATCTTTTTAATTATATAACTTTTTTATGTAATTTTATAAATTATTTAATAATTGATTCATTTTAATTTAAACTCATGATATTATATGTATTCACACTCAATTAATATATGAGAGTTATATAGAAAAATTGTTCTCAAATCATTAATTATCCTCTAATCATACATCCCACGGTATGCAGGTTGAGTTGCATGTAAATAAATTAAAAAGGTTTACCTTGTTGACAATACAACCCGTATTTAAAGTTTGGTCTTTGGTTATGCTAAACCTAGAAATGCTGATATGGCTAATAACTATTTTAATTGAATTTTTAATTTTAGTATGATTATTTATTTTTGTACAAAAAGAAAGGTTAGGCAAGACAGGACATAAGAGAACTAATGACTTTTTATTACTCATACAATAGATTATAAAATAGAGAATAACTGGTTTTTTTTTTTCTTTTTTGTTTTTTGTTTTAATATTTAAATTTAAATTTTTAACTATTAAAAATACCCCTAGTAAAGTTATAAATCATCTGGTCTGATCTAAGATGTATTGAGTTTCAAGATGATTTTTAATTTCCTTGTTATTAGTTAAAAAACAAATTAGAAAAAGTGAATATTTACATTCTTCTCCTGGTGTAAGGAAATTCAAGTTCCTAGTTGATGCAACCCTATCCCAGCAGCAAAAGTGCCAAAAATCAGCCACTGGCATATCTGCCAGGAAGATGTTGCCTTTCTCCGCTCAATTGCTAAAACCCTGACAAATCCTGCTTTCCCCAGGTAGATGACTCTCCTGTCTCCTCCAATTGCACGGAGCTTCCAGCTTGATTGTTTCTGTTCCACCCATGTCTGCAATCCAAACACCACCGCGCAATCACCTCCCTCGCTCTCTCACTTCTCTCCGAAAACCATCAAGGAAACTAATCTTTTCTTCCACCCTGGCCAACAAGACTGTGCCTTGGCAACCCAGAAAGCTGCTCTGCAAACCCCCTCAGGCTCAGGGCAAGTATGCCAGAGAAGACTATCTTGTGGTATGTTCATGCCAATTTTCCCTTGGGAATGCAGGGGAGAATTCAAAAATGGAAACTTTTGCTATGATGCTTCAGATTTTTTTCTTATTGGGAAATTAGAGAGCAGATATAATGTTCATTTGAGAGTTGGTTGAATTATTGCAACTTGAATTGGAACTGATGCGTATTGATCCTTCTGAAATTTGAATGGACAGAAGTAGTCAGCTGAGGAGGTGCAGAAGTTAGTGAAGGGGCGAGAGAACTGTACTCCTTATTATTGATTTCAATGCAATATGGTGTGGACCCTGCATTTTTTGATGGCTCAAAAACTTGAAATGGCAAGTTTGATCCTGAGACAATACCAAGAGTCAAGAGAACTTATGAATTGAGCTTGAATTTATATAGATTCCTGGTTGGTTCTATAACTAGAAGTTAATGTATTGGTGTTAGGATGTGTTATAGTTACTAGATTTGCAGAGTAGATAGAGAAGTTGTATTGGTTTTGTTTAAATAGAAGGCTTTCATTTTGTACAAATTCTGTTCATCTAAAACCAAAAAGGAATAAGATAATTTTGGGATAATTTAGACAATGAGAGGTGGAGGCAGAGTAGAAAAGTTGTGGCAGGCACTGGAACTATCTTTATCAGAACCAGGTTTCGATCCTGGGACCTGTAGGTTATGGGCCCACCACGCTTCCGCTACCCCAGTCTGATGATTGGGCCGACGCATGCAGCAAATCTTATCCATATAGATAAAGTTAACTCAGACCTCAGGCCCCCTACATGCATTTCTACTTTGAAAGTAACTAGTGTACTTAGAAAGGGATTACATAGATTCGAACTCTTATTAACAGGTGAAAAAATCTTTTATATTTAAACATTTAACTACTGGGCCTAAAGGCTTGAGTTTTCATTAGTCTTTACCTTGGAATTGTTATTACTTTTTTCTTGCACCGTTGTTTCCTTCAGCATTGAAGCTGCAGCAACTTCAATTTGGAAGGTAATCATTTTTGACTTATACTAATCGTATGTTTCGGTTTGAGGGGAATGGGATTCTCATTCCCTGACCTCTCCACAATTAGGTAAGTGATTGAATTAAAATGAAAAAAAATAATTCATTCCCCTCTTCTCCTCTCTCTTCCAACTCTTTTGATAGCTAAATAAAGAAATTTTTTGTCTACTCCTCCATTCCCCTTAACTTAAGCATACTGTTAATAATAATAATAAAACCTAACAGATCAAAGTCAAAGAAGAAAGAAAACAAAGAACGAAGAAAAATATTGGGTTCTTCTCTGAAAATTTCTGCATTTCCTTGTGCAAATCCAATGTTAACGTAGCTGCAAGAACATGAGATGCTTATCAAAACGCATCAGAGGTCAGTGACATAAGAACCTTAACAAAAAATTGCTCATTACATAAATAAAACCGGCAGCAACTATCTACTTGCGATAATGGTATTCATTATCACTGCCGTTTGTGTTAGTTTGCCACAAGAAGCAAAAAAAAAGAAAAAGGGAAAAGGCCTAGAAACAATGTAGGCATAAGTTGCTTGTCATATGCCCCAATGCAAACTTTTGCTTATGCATTGCTGAATCAACTTAACTTGATTTCTCCCCTTCACTTGTTGACTTTGACGCAAGCCACTTGGAGAAGCCCTCCTCCAAGGCATCCTTCATCCATGGATGCCTGCAACTCTCGACTGCTTCAGGTATGGTCAGCCAACTTCTAGTCCGGGTGCTTTGTTCTGGCCATGCATCTAACTCCTCAGTTACAAACAAAGCAAACATTGCAGCCTTACATAAACCTTCAGGGCTGAATTCATCTTGGTGTGTTTTACTCTTAAAATGATAGTATCCTACAAAGTCCTGCACCAAGCAATTTTACAGATAGCATACAGAAATCTGTCTAAAAAACTTTAACTAAGAAAAAGAATATTTTGAGAAATCTGTTTGTATAAGAAAAAGAATGCATTTATCAAGGTGACTAAGTAAAATTTTACCATTAGATTCCCCCGCACTCCAGCTTCTTCAACTGCTTCCCTTATGGCAGCCTCCTCGACAGTTTCATCATTCTCCCAGCCCCCCTATAAAAGAGGATAGCAACTCATAAGGAAAAAGTTTTAACTAGCAATCTCCTATTTTGTTCATAAATTAAGAGAAGAATATATAAACCATTAACCAAGCAGCTAAGCTACCCTCTTGAGTCTTGTCTAACTATTTCAGATCTCCTAAATAACAGATAAAATCTAAATCTGTAAAGTTGGCTACTAAAATGCATTGATCTATAAATTTCTTAACGTATGCCAGCCACCTGTTAATGACATGAAAAACATATAAATTGGCTGAAAGACAAAATATTAAAGGGTTTTTAACAAAATCTCCCAGTACTTGGGCAAACCCAGTCAGTTTGCCAACAGAAAACCATTGATGAACAGACCTAACTCTTAAACTTGCAAGATTAACAAAAAAGAATTAATCAAATCACAAGTTGTCTTTACAAAATCAATATCCTTAGATACACATTAGGCATTTACATTTTATCATAAACTTGATGGAAGACTACAAATAAGTCTGACCACAAGGTCTTTTTCATTCATCCAAACTATAATATAGCCCAAGAATGGATAAGCAAGAGCCCAACTTAAAATTATTGGCGGACAATATTGAGCCAAAGAAGCAAAGCTAAAATTCCTCAGGTTCATATGATATCTTAGATGCAGGTTTAGAGAAGTTTTTCATTCTGCTGCAGAACAGAAGCAGAATATGAGCAAAATACTGGACATAAAACCAACAGAAGGCATACATTGCAATACAAGCTCATCTAATTCACCAATATATACCTTTGGAAACAAAAGGCCTGGTCCGCTAGGTGAGTTAATCATAAGTACCTCGACCACCTTCTTAGAATCAACATCACCAGTCACATCTGAATTTCTATACCTAAATGGAATACACCTGTCGAATAACTTTGAAATTAGCACACGAGAGCAGCGATGACTGTACTTTTCTTTCTCCACAATTCAACGATAACATAAAGAGCTCCCATCCGTCAAAAGGCAACTCTAAAACATTCAGAATATGAAAATTTAAAATGCACAAGAAATTCCTTTTCGAACCTGCTTAAGAACTTTGATCAGCAAACTAGAGAAGAAAATCATACACAGCATGGGGTCCAATTCTAATACTTTATAACTATTGTTTCTTTAACATCTTTTTTTTTTTTTGGCCAAAACATTTCTTTAACATCATTAGTAATCAGTGTTTCGCATGTTTCCAATTTAAATAAGATGGAACAAACTACTGCAATCCAATGGTTTAATTAACTCAAAAACTAAAATTTTTTGCACAAATAGAAAACCCACTAAAACCCTCCAGCATAATACCAAAAAGAAACAAACTTTTCAACCAATTGCACAAATCATTTAAAATAACAACAAAACAGGACGCAACCGTCTGCCCTCTTCAACCGAAAAAGGCATCCAACATGCAGCCGAATTGCATCATTCACATCCTAACACACTAATAACATCTACCAAACCCAACAGGCACGCACATTACCCACGATCCATAGAATAAGCACTCCACTGAACATACCCGGCGACGAGGCGACAACCGGCCTCATACCGTTGCTGAAGCCGACCTGTACGGGCCACCAAATCAGACATAATCCTAAAAAAAACGAAATTTTCTTATAACCTCAAAATTCAACACAACTGATCATGTTGTCATGAACGGCCATTGGTTCGTTAACGCAACAATGTTCACGCATGCACCGTAGTAAAGTACCCACAACACCGCTGGCCCTGGTTTTGACGGCGGCTATGAATGCTACGTGACATGATCCAATGCTGGTGGAATTTATGCGTATTTTGGTTTGAAAACTGTGGTTTTTTAGGGTTTGAGTTTTCTGTATTGCAGAGTTCTGCAGTCTGGACTGGAACAGAAGTGGAGACTGGAGAAGGCGGGGCCCTAAACTGATGCAATTATGTACGGATCAGGATGGTGGGGACAGTCAAAGTCACGTGGGTTTTTGGTCAACAGTTGAACCTACTTTTTTTTTTCTTTTTTATTTAATAATAATTTTTTTCCATTACATTGTATCACGTCTTGTCATATCATAAGATGTTGCATTATAAATAATTAAAATATCACCGACGAGAATTAGATCAAGTGGCGACCAGTTTGTTTCAGTTTAAATAAGATCTCGAGTTTGAGACTTTGTGTATGCAACAGCCTCGGTTGGGAGATTCATCCACCATTTCCAGATGCGCGACACTGGTCGGATCCGTATTAGTCAGGGTGAAACCCCGAATACCGAGTGAGAAACTAAAAAGAAAATAATAATAATAAGTATCGTAAATCGTTATTATTATTATTTTTTAAAACAGTGCAATTGGAGAGAGAGGAAGAAATGTATTTTATAAATTTGAAAACACAACTTAAAAAAAAAAAATTGATATTCACCTAATTAAAGATCTTAATCAAAAGGTAATCTTCAGTTAATTAAGGGTCTCGAGAATGATAAACCGTGTTGTTATTTTTTTTTTACAGATAAAATAATTAAAAATTAAAAATTAAGTTAATACCTACTCTTAACAAGTTTTAACCACTGATAAAAAATACAATTCACCGACACCCTTGATGCAGTGGGCAGTGGTCACTAAACGCAACAGACTGCAAACCGTGTTATTATTCATCACAGCTGGTTTGGTGGAATCATTGGGATAATCATTTTCAACTATTCTGGTCTATAATAGTGGCTTACCAGTTCAACCAATTCCCATCTCCATGGTGCAAGGGCAAGGGAGTGGTCCGGTTCATCATTTGAGAATGGGAACAGGTTCATCCATCCATTCCGGTCCAAAATTACAGCTCATTGGTTCAACTGTTCCCATCTAGTAGTCAGTCTATTAATAATGATAAACTATCAATGGATCATGGTGCAAGGGTAATGGCTGCAGTTCATTTGAGAATGACAGAATTGTTGGTTCGTACAGGGAAGGGAATACTTTGAGCACTTAAAATAAATAAAAACTCGGGAGAAATTTCAAGAAAATAACATGATGTACATACCTCAACTAGAAACATCTACTATGAGATACAAATGGCCTGCCTATGCATATATATATATATATATATATATAATAGGTGGCTACATATTTCCTCCATGGCGGATGCTGCTTCTGCTGCTCTTGTATTTTCCTATGTCTATTTCTTTCCATGCTCTCTGTACCCTTGTTTATTAACAGCAACTAATCCTGAATCGACGTTTGCTCACTGCTGCAGAATGCAGTAGAGCTTAGCCTTTCTTCCCAACCCTAAAGTTGAAAACTTTAGGAATGAACTGAAAATGGAACATGAAAACTGAATGGAAGAAGGTATTTTGTTCAAGCGCTTTTTCTAGTTGGTGGGCTTTCGTCAAGAGCAACATCAGCAGGATCTCCAAGCCAGGGTCTCCCTTCCCTCCATTGAAATTTAATTCGCAACCTTCCATTGGCATCTACGCCAACTACCTGTCCTTTGCTTGCATGAGTCTCCATTCCCCAGCCCCACCTTGGCGTCACCAGCCCTTCTCGAATCTTCACTTTGTCCCCTATTTTGAATGGTCTAATTCGTTCGAGCTCCCGACCTTTACAGAGCCATAGCCTCTCCACGAAGCAGAATGCCACCCATACGTCTCCATCTTCCATCCGGTGAATCACTCCAATACTTGAATGAGTCACCTCTCCCCAGTGATGGCTTGGGGTTGTAATTGATGACTTTACCCTCACCCAGTCTCCAATGCAGAGTTCCTCTTCCTCAACCACCTCCACTTCTGATGGGTCAAGCATCCAAGTTTTAGAGCCTGCTGGAGTGTATATTCTCAACTTTCCATCAGCATCAATTGCTGCTATTGTGCCAAGGCTTCCATGGCTGTGACCTGACCACCCGAATCTTGGCTGCTTCACAGATAGTTTTACCCTGACCTTCTGTCCTACCATAAGTCTGTTTGCTCTTACAAGATGGGATGTAGGCCCCACCCATTTTTCCTGCTCCCCACAAAATGCGACAAAGGAGCTTCCATCCCATTCATCTCCTTCACACCCATTTCCCTGTACGACACCAACACAACCAGGTCCAATGGATTTCCAGCTACTGACATTTTCTTTCAATCTCACCCACTCTCCCACTTCAAACATTTCTTCTATTTCAAGATCTGCAGGATCCCCTCTCCACAAACCTGGCAAACCAAAGAAAGCAATTCTCACTTCTCCATTGGCATGAACACTGGTTATAATCCCTCGTGAATCAGGCTTGGCCCCTCTCCATCCCCATCTTGGCTCAACCAACCCATCCCGAAACCTAACATGCTGCCCAACTTTGAAGCAGGGAACCTTTTCAACATCTGAGTAGTGAGTAATCCATCTCCCTTTTCGGAAGCAGCAAGCCAATTCCAAATAACCAGTCTCCTGAACACTATGAACAACTGCTAAACTCTCTTTCCCAATACTGTTCCAGTCATAACTAGGTCTAGCACCGAGGCTTGGTTTTGAACGCACCCAATCACCAACTTCAAATCCTGAAAGCCGTTCTGCATCTCCAGGGGAAACTTTCCACAAACTCTGTCTACCAGTTACTCTTACCTGTAAAGAAAGAAGAAAGACATTTCCAAATTACGGTGATTCAACAAACAGATGATTAAATAAAATCTGACACCAGCACATATGTACCCAAGAAAACAAAAGTGACGCTGACAGATCATTTTGACAAAAGGTGCTCCTCACATTTTCTTAGGGTATGTTTGGTTTGAGGGAAAGGGAGGGGAGGGGAGGGGAGGGAAAATTTTCCATCCAATCAAATTAAGACGTTGGGCTAAAATATTAATTTGATAAGACAAAAATTCTCCCTTCCCTTCCCTTTGTTTCCCTCAAAACAAACATACACTTAGGAGGAGAAATGAGAGAAGAAACCTAGAATTAGGTACTTAAAACCAAAACATGCATTGATTAGTCATGGAATGTTTACACACTTTCATGCATCTGATGATTTCAATAGGAATCACTTCCACATACAAGAAACTGAAAAAGAGTAGGTGAAACCAAAGAGAAAACTAGAGTCCAAGATAAGCATGCTTACATTCAAAGCTCCATCCATGTCAACTCTCACAATTTTTCCAACAGTTCCTGGAGTTTCATTTGACCATCCGAGCCTTGGCTGAGTGACAGAGGGCATCACATGAACTTCCTGCCCCACTTCAAAAGGAGGAACCTTCTCCACATCGGTCACAGAGCAAGAAAAAGGCTTGCTTCTGAAGCAGAAAGCAACACCCATATCACCATCCTCCTCCAAGCTATGAACTACCCCAACACTGTTCCTCGTAACGTCCTCCCATCCATATTTTGGAGAGGATACAGAAGCTTTCACTCTAACCCAATCCCCAACCTATTCACCATAGAATATACAGAGGAAGAGTCATTAACAGCTTCAGGAGTCAATAAATCCTAAAGCAAAGATTTAGGAGGATTTCTCAGTAGTTATAATCAATTTTCCACAAAATACTCCAGAAGACTAAATACAACCCAAAACATAATCCTACTCCAATAGAAATCACAAAATAAAAAATAAAGGAGCTCAATCTAATACATATAATTAGTTCCTAAACTTTTTCTAACAAAAGTGAGATTAATCCAACAAGGCTGATCTTTAGGGAGACCAGAGAGGTGTCCATCACTTCTTTATTAGGTTGTTTAATATAACTGATTCATAAAAGATGAGCATTACCTTGAAATCTTCAACCTTTTCCATATCTGAAGGATCAGCCTGCCATGGTATTGGTCGATTTGGTATTTCAATCATAAGAAGCCCATCACTCTCTATGTCACTAATTCTTCCGACACTATGATGCGTCTCACCACCCCAAGCATACCGAGGTTCTGCAACAGATCGTTTCACACAAACCCGATCGCCAATCTATGAAATCAGACAATAAAGTGATTTTTCACTCCCTTGTTTTTTAAATAAAAGAGAGGTAAAGGCTGTAAATTAGAAAGAAAATGTCTGCACCCAAAAATGGTAGTCATAAACATACCCTAAAAGGAGTAACAGGCTCAACCTCCTCTGGTTCACAATGCCAAGGATTTGGAAGATAGCTTAACTCCAACAGTAAACTACTATCTGGTCTTATACAATAAACTATACCAATGCTCCCTGGTGTAACCAATCCTAATCCATGCTTTGCTGTTGTAAGAGTTGGGCGAATACGAACCCAGTCCCCAACCTTGAACTCTTCAACCCTTTCCATTTCAGCAGGATCAGCTTTCCATCCTCTGGATGCACCAGGAAACCCAACCCGCAAAATCCCATCCTCATCAACACATAAGACGGTCCCAATGCTCTCTCGTGATTGACCACGCCAACCAAATCTGAATATGCAATCAATTAGTCATCAATCAGTGATTACAAGCTAATTGAAAATCTATTCCAATTACTTTGTAACATTTTACACAGATTTTCATTGCAAAATAACTAAAATGACAGAAGACATAATACTAGTGTGTGCTTGAAAAGAGAATATTTCATCCCCATAACATTTTAGATGATCAAAAAATACTTTACAGTTAGAGAAATATGCTATGGCACCATTTGAAGGCTCCTACTACTCCTTGCATTTCCTAGGATACTCATTAAGTAAAGAGGCCACACAAAAACACCAGAAATAATATATGCTGGTCCAAACCTTGGCTCTTTGACATCTGCTTTAAGCTTAACATGCTGCCCTCTATCAAGTGGGATCACTTTTACAACTTCATTTGCCAATACGTGGGCCTCTCCAGAACAAAATGACACAATGAGATTGTCCCTATCCACAACAGTTTGCACAAAGCCAACACTCTTATGTTCTGCACCTTGCCATCCATGTGTGGGGGTCGTGATTCTTCTTTTGTACTTGACCCAGTCTCCAACTTCAAATCTGAACAACATTGAAAAATCAGGAAGTAATAGTGAATAGCTATTAGATAAATAAGTTATGTTAATGAATGCATAACAGCAAAATCAAATAACAGGAACTTTAGCCTCACATTGTAGGAGACAGATGAACCCCCCTGTTTGTTAGCGTCTCCATCAGGTCTTCAGAAATCCATTCCCGAGGAAGGGCCTCCAAAAAGTCACGCAATGTCTTACCACTGGTACTCAGCATACATCAAGTTATCCATAAAAGGTTCAGAGTAATATCTACGGTGTCTGCTATAATGACAATAATGGGTTTAAAGCATTTAGCTGGGTGATATAACCTCAAATCTTTGGCACTTTACAGAGATCTGTCTCAAAAAAGTAATTTTCCCTTTCCCCCATGGTGCTAGAAAGAAGAGACTAAATGCTTGGGGCAAGAAATATCAGATTGGTAAAGATTCAACTTTCAAAAATAGTCTATCAAGAAAAAAATGCAACTGAAATAGAAAACATTTAGCAAAGCTTTTAAATGACAAATTTGAAGAGTGAACTTGAAAATACTCATGATGGAGAAAAACCAGTAACTGAACTCACCTGTGATTTCTTACATCAACAGCAGCATCAGGATTTCTCAGCATGAAAATAAGCCATTCAAGATTTTCACGTATCATCTTTGCTTGATCAGCAGCTATATGGAAAGCATTATTACCTTCATCATCCTGATAGTCATTAGCAATAGCATAAGCCAGTGACTTGAAATAAGATATTTGAGGCTGATGCTTTGACTCTTAATGTGTACCATCACAGCAGCAGTCATCATGCAAACAAACTTTTTTTCTTATTTGATTTTCTCTTTTACCTTACAGACCCAATGCCAATAATAATAACATAATTCCAATCTAAATGATATCTATATTTTCTCCGTCACCATCACATTCAGAATGCCATTACCATTATTCACAAACTTGGCATATTTATCAGGTTAACCATGTGCATCAACTCATTCCAAGCTTTTAGCTACTACTTCAATGTTACATCCATCATTGGCCCTTAGTTTCATACAAAGACCATAAATTCAAAATTAACCAGATTTTTAAAACAGTAGAAAACCTGCAAATTGCAATCAGCTCCAGTAGATAAAAGCAACCCAACACATAATTTTGCCCCTCTGGCCAAGGCCACATGAAGGGGTATTGTATTCTGCATGTTCCGTATGTTCACATCCACTCCAGCTTCAAGAATAATCTATCCGCAATTTGCAATTTGAACATATATTGATGGAAAAAAAAATCAGGTCAAAAAGATTAGAATGATATCATCTGCAAGAATCTGAAAAATGTAAACTTGCTCCATTAAGTAGTAGGAAACAATATAGCTTACTTTCACTAGTTCAACATCATTAGCCAGAGCAGCTGTATGCAATGCTGTTCTCCCATGCTGGGGATCTTGGGCAGTTGGATCTGCCCCAGCAGTGAGCAATATTTTCACTAGTTCTCTACCCTCTACAAGCAATTAATAGAAACATTATAAGAAATAATACAATAACTGAAGGTCATTAAATCCAACAGTTCCAAAAAGGATCATATTTACTTTCCAAGCTCTAGGACCAATATGAGGATATGATATGTAATATTTGACATTTATTAAACACATCACCACCACATTTTCTAGTCAACTGAACTACAGTTCCACCCAAATTATAACACAGGATCAGCTGCTCAAATAATAATCTCAATTTGCAGCATGGAAAAATTCAAATGATTGGTGTAACTTATATACCCCTATAAGTTAAGGAAATATCCATATTATCCCATTTGAGCAGGTATGCTTTATAACTGGAACTGTATAGAAACCTTCAAGATGCTAAAGCAACAGCTTAAAGAATGCAATGAGGTTTCAACTAAAGGAACACAATTAGATGTTGGCCAAGAAAAAAAAAAAGAAAAACACAATTAGATGGAAATGAAGGCATCAATGCCAAACAAAACTTCCAAGAGTGAAAAAACTATGACCATCTGAGTAAATAAATCAATTCAAAATTTTAAAGTTACCAGTTTCACAGTCTTTTTTCAGAGCAGCTGCCATGCACAATGCAGTACCAAGTGAACTGGGAATATCAATTGCTTCATCAATTTCTTTTGGGGATGCAACTTCTACCCATCTTCTGACAACAGCTACGTTCCATGTTGCTATGCACAAATGTAAAGGTCTGCAACACCAGATCAAGTTATTCAACATTGAGAGGGAGGCAAATGAATTATTAAAGATATAAATGAAAAGATATAATACTCATATATTACAGTTACAATTTTGTAAGGAAGCAATTTCTATATAGTGCAAAATAATTTACACCATGCAATTATGATTTTATCTAATGGATGCAAGAAATAAAAAGTTGCAAAATATTATTATTATTTTTTAATTTTCTCAAGTACTAGGTAGGTAAATATTATTTTCTATTGATACAAGATCACTGTAATCTAAACAGGCAACTACCAAAAGGTCCAAAACCCCATCTTCAAAAAAAAAAACTGGGCATCATTAATTGCATTTGCTAGGTAGATCAAGATGCTAAAAAACTTTCCACTCAATAAATATAAATATATTCATATTCATCTACAGATCTACCAATGCAAAACAAAACCTTTAAAAAAGAAGAAGAAGAAAAAGGAGCGCTCTCCCCCTCCACTTCCCTTTAAGGGTAAAGACTGAAATAATACTTACGTCAATTGTTTTGAATTTAAAACAGCCATTGATCTACAGCCTCCATTTTCCAATATGACCAGGGCACAATCTGTATATTTTTTAGCAACAGCTCTATGCAGTACAGATTCACCTTCGTCATCCAATGCATTAGGATCAGCTCCAGCCAATAGTAATTCCTTTTATAATTTAGACACAGATCAAGATTTAAGACTGAGAGGGCATTAAGAAGTAATAAGGGATGAGCACAACATTTATCTTATTCAACATGAGACCTACCCGCATGCAGTCAGGTTGACCATGGTAAGCACAAACATGAGCAACAGATGGACCAAAGCCTTCCCTCAACCTGGACTGAACATTAGCACCTCTGTTGATGAGGGCACAAACACATTCTGGGGATCCAGCTGCTAAAGCAAAAACAAGCGGCGGATCCCCATCTTTATCCAAAACATCCACATTTGCCTCCTTGTACTCCAGCATTGCCTCAACAAGCTCAGCACTACCACGTCTACAAGCCAAGTGCAGAGCAGCTTGCCCATCAGCATTTTGTGCTTCTAGAAGTGAAGAAATCAAGCTACTACCACCTCCCATTGCAGCCTTTGCAAGAAGATCTCTGCATGGGTAGAGAAAATAAAGGATAAAATAATATAGAACCCCAAGGGTTCTTCAAATAGGAAGCCTGAACAAGCCAGTGTAAACAGATTTCCACCAACCTGACACCATTCACATCTCCTTCAGACACTAGTCGATGTAGATGATTGGGATAATGCTGGACAGCTTCTGTATCAGGTGCAGCTGACAGTTCCACTACATTTGATCCAGGAATTTTGTCAAAGCCACTGCATTCATGAATACAGAGTTTAGAGATTTATAAACCAATTTCAAATATAAATGATCTCCCTAGCTATCTTCTAGAAACATAAATTTTTTTCTTACTTATCAGGGCTTGCAGGGGGACTGCGTGGTATTGCTTGTAAATGACGGAGGAATATTGCTAACATTGCATTAAATGTTGGTCTTTTTGACGGCTTGAACTGTAGGCATTCACCGATCATCTTCCACAATTCCCTAGGTATACCCACACCTACTACACTTGCATACTGTGGTGGTAATCTTCGAGCCTTGACAACTGCCCGATATATCTCTTCAGCACTTGAACCAGCCCAACTGAGAAAGGAAAGTCAAGTTGCATTAAGAGAAAAATCATAAATGGAACTGAAATGTGATAAACACACACAGTCACAAATATCAACAGACAAAAGGAAAAGCATATATCAGAAGGATCAACTTGTTGCACATACGGGATCGAGCCAGTGCACATTTCTACTAATGTACAACCAAAACTCCAGGCATCTGATTCTGAAGATATGCCCATTGCATCATCCCAGAATAGATTCAGTGACTTCTTTACTGGTTCCCATGCCTCTGGAGCAGTATAATGTGGGCTGAGCATTGTACAGTCCATACATGAATGAATCTTTGAAGAATCAGACTCTGATCGTGCTTTTCGGCAAGAAGGTTTCTTCAGAATTGCAGCAAGTCCATAATCAGAAACAACAGCATGACCACTTGCATCCAAAAGTAGATTAGATGGTTTTATATTCATACAAACAACACCTGCCGCATGGAGTTCTGCCACTCCTCGTGCAATGTCTGCTCCATATCTAAATTTGACAAACATTTAACATGTCAGGACAAAATTCA